GTAAATGTTATCTATAAATTTGTTGCTCTATCTCCAGTTATTTTTTCTTAATTCCTATTTTAGTATATTTAACTTGCAAGATTTTCTAAAAATCACACGCTGTCAAAGAAAAACAAAATGCAAAAATGTGTAATATATTACACTTTGGAAGGCAGTGTAACTTGTCTTCTATGACCTCAGTAAATTTTTAATTGAAAAAAATAAATAACTGTCTAAAAATTTAATTTCACTTTGTGGAACAAAAACGTGCCTGACCAAGTACTAACCAGGCCCGACCCTGCTTAGCTTCTGAGATCAGATGAGATTGGGCACGTTCAGGGTGGCATGGATGTAGACCAATATTTTTCTTTTATATTGGAATTTAATACCTTCAATTTTGCACCTACCTACGTGCTTTTTGCTTTGTTTTGGTTTTTTGGTTTTTTTTTTTTTTCCTTTAACCTTAGCGCTGGCATTTCCCCATCCCCAGCCCGTGGAAATCTGCGATGTTTGTCCCTCACCCACTCAGCCTTGGAACTCTGTCCACAATTTCCCCTTAGTGCTTTAACATTTCATTGCCACACTTGTGCCAACAGGCAACTTATTTCAGACTAGTTTTTCACGGCTGAACATGACCTTGAACCTTTTTTCTATCTACGCTCACCAGGTGAATTTAATCCAGTCTGATAGGCTCAAAACCCATCTAAATGCCAGTGAGCCCAGAACATGTCTCCAGCCCTGAACCTCAGACCCGTGTTCTCGGCTCCCTCCGCCCATCTCTGCTTAGATGTCTAAGGCATCTCCAACGCAGCAGGTCTACACCAGCTCCTGGCATCGCCCCAAACCTGCTCCTCCCCCACTTTTACCCACTGGGAAACCATCGTCCCAGTTGTACGGGCTTTGATGTCTTCCTTGACTCCTGTTTTAAGTCCTCCCCACATTCAGTCTGTCAACACATCCTTCAGTATGTACCCAGAATAGATGGACTAGCCGACCATGACTCCCAACCCCCATATCACCACCCTGGACCAGGCCACCACCATCCGGCGCCTGGGTCATTTCAGCAGCCTCCTAACTGGTCTCCCTGCCTTGAGTCTTACACTATGTCTCCTTTGTCTGTTACTTCAAGTGAGTAAGTTTAGAAAAAAGTGGATATGAATTTCATACATAAAAATACAATATTTTAGTACGTATTGTGAGAATTGCAACTTTTAAATCAGGTAGACAAAGCTACATAAGCACCTGACTTATTTTAGTTAAGCTAAAAATTGAAAGATGTCCCCTAACTTTCTTAGGTATATGACTATATCCTGGACAGAACTATGACAAAAACTTTAAAACTGACTTGCAGAAGAATAAAATAATCCATCGACTTCTTCCCAGTGAGAAAAAAGAAGTCATGCAAGAATTTAGGCTCTTATGTTTTTTTTTTAAGACAAGCACCAAAAGAGGCAAATTGCAGTGGAGACAAATGCTCACCCCTGTGCTGATCGTTTTGGTAGTAGGTACCTGGGCACTGATATTCTAGTTTGTCAATCACAGAGTGATGTGGTGATATGACAGGGTCCCTGCCCTCAGGGAGCTAATGGCCCCCACACACCTGTACATTTGCCAGTCTCAAGCCTCCAGCCCCCCATTTTTCTCTTTTTCCATTGAGTGAAACCCCAGCTGACCAAAGCGACATGTTAGCATTGCTGCAACTTGCAGAGGGTCCATGGGACACAGCAGGTAGTCAACCTCCAGCCCACTCAAACTTGACCTCCCACCCGCCCCTCATGCTGTCGCTTCACAGAAGAACGTAAAGCTCTCTGATGGTGCTCTCTTCCTCCAGCTAACGGAACTGCCAGCCTTCCCCACACGGTACCCATCTTACCGTCCTTCCCTCCGTCTCAGGCCACCTCTCCCTGTGCTTTGATCTCATCCCCTCCTGCTTGTCAAAACCCCTACCCCATCACTGTCAGCTATCCATGCTCTCACCTGTGCAAGCACCTGTTCCAGCTCATCTTTCCCACGGCTTTTAAAGATGCTTGAGTTTCCCATCACAAAAGAAAGGAGAGAAGAATCTCCCCTGACCCCACATTCCCCTTCATTTTCCAGTTACTGCCAATCTCTCATCCCTTTCAACAGGCAAACTTTTTTAAGAACTCGCCATCTTTAGGGCGTCCATTCCTCGTCTCTCGTTCCTCGGCCCACTCTCGTCTGCCTCCCGCCCTCATCTCTGTCCTAACGCAGAAACCGCTCACACTTCCAGGTCTCTGCGTTCTCATTCTCTCGGCAGCATTGAAATTCCACACTGTCTTCCCTCGGCCTCTGTGTCCCCACCAGCCCCCAGCCTTCTGCTGTTCCTGCCACCACTCTGCTTCACTCTCGTCTCCTGGGTCATTAATAGTGCATTTCCTCCAAGCTCAGCGTCTCTTCTCATTGTGTCCCCCTCTCCCCATGATTCCTATATCCTGACATTAGGCACAGATACATGCCCATCATCTATATGCTCTTGACTCCCAACTTTGTCCATCCAGCTTGGCCTTCTTTCCCGAGCTAGACCCATAAGTCCAGCCAGCTGAAGGGCATCGCCTCTTAATACCCCTCGGATACCTCCAGCTCAACACGCACAAGACCAAACAACCTCCCAC